GGTGTGAGGCGAGCGAGTGAGGAGTGAGAGTCCGGAGAGCTTGTGCAATGCAGGCGCGTACAGCCAAACGGCTGCGTCAAAAAGCAACGACGCCGCTGCAACTGTCCTTGAACTTGGCAAACTTTTTTTTTTCTTCTGTTTTTGCAGTTTTTGTTGTTTGGCCCAACGAAGACCAGCAGCACTTGCATGTGCATACACACACACACACGCTGAGTGGCAGAGAATCGGGCGAGCGCATGCAAAAGCAGCGTCCACCATTTGCTTTATTAATCTGCAGCAGCAGCAGCAACGTTGACGTAGGCAGCGACGCCGACTGCAACGCCAGTGCATGCATACGGCTTCAAATGTTGCGCTGCCCATAGGCTTGCTCTTTCAAGTGTGTGTGTGTGTGTGTGTGTGTGCATGTGTGGGTATCGATACAGTCTGCGTATAAGAATTATTTAAAATGGCGGCCTTCAATGGAAATCAAGGATTTTATGAACAGTCAAGGTTAATAATTATTGGAAATACAGGTATACAAACTAAATATATAATCATTTTATAAAATTACCAGTAACTGTATAAGTATGTATATACATACATTTATAAAAGTTCAATAAAGAAAAAATCTGTAATATTGTTAAGAGATAAGCCTGAATATTTACTTTTAGAAAACAATATTATGGAATATTCGCATAAGTAATACATAATGCAGATACATACATATGTATATACGAGCTATCATTATGTATGTATGTATGTATGTATCATGTTTACAGCTAGTATAAGATTTCGCTATAAACAAGCTCGTACATGACTTCATTTTAAACATCATTAGATCTTGAAAGGGGAAGTTTTTTAATGTGACAAAACAGTTTTGTGCGCCGTTACTAAGCGACAAAAAAAAAAATAGAAAATAAAGAACACACCGATTTCACAATTCTCAAAAAAATAAATAATGAAAAAAACCTGACCACAGAGCACAAAAAAAAAAAGACACAAACACTATGAATCAAGAGAATGACGGGCACAACAGCTCACACCATTTAGTCAGAATTGGCAATTAGAACAAAGAACTAAACATATAAACAGGCTGTCTGTATGTGTAGAGCCATATATAGACCGATCAAATTAGAAATAAATATATACATATGTATAAATAGGTAAATATATAAGCAATACTTGAGCAAAATTGTTATCCAAGGTCAACAAAAAAAATTTTTTGTTTATATGTACATATTTATTATTATATCATGAAAATAAATAAAACATCGAGTGCGGATAGCAGTTATACATACATACATACATGTACATATGTATATATAGATTGTTATATACAGATATCTTATTTATGTTTATATAGTATCTTGGATAAATACAAAAAATCGAAAAGAACGTTCAAGAACGTTAAAAGTAACAAAAACAAACTAACTAACGAACACGTTATGAAAGACAATAATACTGCGCTAAAAATGCGACTAGAAGTTACCCTGGAAACAAATAAAAATGATGCAGCTATATGCTGATATAATGTATTGTAATCGATATTATTACTTATCGATATATTTGTATACATGATATCTATGATTATTTCTGTAAATTTGCTTTGTGAACTAATATACCCCACTCCAAATGCTTTCAATATGCACAGGGTATTCTAAATATGGCGGATCGCGCCGGCCGGAGGGTAACGTGAGCACACACGCACACACATACACACATACAGCACATACACACAGACGTAAGCAAACATAGCTTTTACGCATGTCTGCGAACCGGCTTTTTGCCTTAGAATCATTTTTTAGCCCGAAATGTATCCGTCAGATACTCAACTGAACATTTGCGTTGCTGAGTGTGTGTGTGTGTGTGAGTGTGTGCGTGTATGGGAATGTTGCAATACAAAATATAATGGGGTAGGCAAAGGGTTGCCAAATGCTATGCCAATAAAGCGAAAAAAGACGATGAGGAAATTATAGCTCATTCCGAGTCTCATTCTCATTCATATGACCGAAACAAATGCCAAATTCTTGATAAGCGACAAGTTTATGAATTAACTGTAAAGCTCTTCATCTAATGGAATTTTGTGCGAAGTGATTGCCAGGGAAAAAGTCAAAGCAAAAAAAAAAATAAAAATAGAAATAAACAGTTTTGACTGATAAGCCACAGTGAAATGGAATTTTTATGCTATTTATTTATATTTATTTGATTGGGGCATGAAATTTCGCTTTCAATGCTAACTAAACGAAGCGCAAAAAAGGAACATTTATTGGCTTGGCACTTGAGAAACGAGCGTTTTATCTCTTCCTCGGGCTCTCACTCTTCTTCTTCTTCTTCTTCTTCACGTTGTTGTTCTGTGTGTGCTTAAGAAATTTTCTTATAATGTGAGAGCCAATAGATATTTTGTTTGTCGATAACTTAAAGTTGCTTCGATTTGCAATTCATAAACGAAGTTGGAGTACCCTAATCGAAAGTAACCGACTACGAGCTACCCTGAATAATAAATAGAACTGTTATGAGCTTTACTATGGGTAGTTCATTCTTGCACAACTTTAGTTGTAGTTTAATTTTGTGTAACTACTTGTAGAGAATGCTATCTAGATGTGACTATTTGACTAAAAAAAACTTTCTATAGGGCAAGTTCGATTCAGATTGTCATCTTGCGGCCTGCCACGCCTCTTTCTATTTGCAAACATACTAACAAAACAATTATAGCTTAAATGTTCATTTTTAATGGGTAGCTAATTTGATAGCAATAGTGATAGGAAATTTGGTGTTTGGGATTCACCTGAAATGAGTAGTTGAGAGATAAAGTCGTTAAAAGGAAATTATTGCTTAAATATATCGGTAAATTATACAGTTAGCTTTATAAATAATGAAATTGATGTCATATATGGTATATCAATAATGTCCGAATACACTTAGCAGAGCTGAGATATTTATCATACATATGTACATAAATATTTACTTATATATATATAGGAAACACATTGCTTATCATATCGGACTTAAAAGAAATTTATAAATTCTGATATATGTATGTACAAGCATATACACAAAAGCAAACAGGGAAGTGAAATTGAAATAATCTGATTTGAATTATAAATTCTTTTTCTCCATCTCTCTTTCTCCATCTCGTTATCTCTTGCTCTCTCTCTCTTGCGATTGGTAATCTCTCAATCAATTGTGGTTTCATGAGCACGACGCTTCGACGTTTCCATTCATAAAACGCAACTAAGCAGAACCATGAAGAGATACATTCAAATAGCGCATCGATAAGCAAATGCTGGCCAAAAGCGCTGATAACAACAGGTGTGCCTGGTGGAACGTGAATGAACGCAGCTAGCACAGCGCAGCAAGCTTGAAATGCTGAAAGCAACTCAAACACCTACGTAAATCAACTGTCAAATCGGTTACCCGTCGATAGCGATAACACGATAACAGCACCAGCAACTGGAAAATATGGTACTTTATTTAGACTTGAGCTCCTTTTTTTTATAATTGAACAGTTAGACGTTGTATGCTACGCCGCATCGATACAATTTCCTGTGCACATAAATACCCCAAATATCAATTTCCAAGATTATTTTGGCATTTCGAATCGTTGTTGACGCTATTACTGACCTTCAGGCACAAAATTAGCAAATAGATAAAATACAAGCATACTTGAACAATAACAAAAATTAGATAGATTCACGGGACTCTTTTTTTATCGCTATGAAAATTGCATAAGTACAAAGTGAGCAATAAAGGTTTTATTGTCCACAGAATGGAAAAAGTTTTATCAGAGGGTTAAAAGTGCTTTTAAAAATGTTAAGATTAAAATTCAATTCAATAATATATTAAGAGCATATTTATATATTTTTGATTTGAATTGTTTAAGAATCTACTATAAACAATTTTAACATATTTTTACGAATTAAAAATAAATAAAAATCTTAATTTAAAATATTACCTAAGTCAATTCTTTACATTATATTTAAATATTTGTATAAAATTTTTTATTTGGTGATGAAATAATTTAAACTATCTTCCCTTAGATATTGTCGAAGTGCAACGAAAGTCTGACCAAAGTTCGTCATTTGATAGTCAACTCATGTTGATAATAAATAAAAAGTCTTTCGCCCACTGACATTATCAGTAATTAGCGAACATAAAGAATCGTGTGATCCTTCTCTATTATGTATGCCAATTGTGTGTGACTCATGCGATTGCAGGTAATGAGTCACAGTGGTTTAGGAAACCCCTTTGATATACAATTGATCATTATCGAAAAGCATTTGAAATTAGTTTGTAAGACCCATTGGGCTTGGATGATGTCGGTGACTCAAGTGCCCCACAGGGTTGAGTCATCTGGAATCTAGTTGAGATAGGATATTTTAGCAGTGGTACTTTATGGGTGGGTGGGTGATTGGGTGCTTAGTCCGAAGTCTAATTAGTCAAATCATTTAAATAGATAAATTTATCATCATGATATAACTGATTTCCCATACAATCTACTCATTTTTTTTTTGCTGAATCATGGGGCGTATGCGCAATTTTGGCGTATGGCAGTACTTGAACTAAGCTAGAATTTCGTGTTTATAAAGGGAATATATGTATATTATAATCATATAATTATGGAAGCGTCATTTTAGAACATTTCTAATATTGTGAAATTTTTGGGTTGCTCATTCACCGACATTATCTCGAAAATATATTAAGTATACGACGCGTGTACAATTACCAAATAAATGCTCTTCGAGTTTTTTTTTATGAATATTTAACCAAACAAAAATATAAATACTATTATTATTAAAAATTCAAATTTATAAGAATTCAAAGAAATATATATAAATTTTTATATACATTATAAATATTGCAATAAAATAATCTAACATACAAAAATTTGCGTGGAAAAAGGTATATCTATATATTTAAATTTTATGTTATATTTTTATTATATATATATAAAAAAAAAAAAAAAGATAAAATATTATTTTAATTAGAAATATAATTTATTATTGCTGTAAACAAACACTTACCATAAAATTAAATGAAAGTCCACAATATAAATTGATAAAATATTCCTTGCTGTATTCCCAAAAGGCAAATCCAAATTCTCGCTTGATTGGAGATAATTTCCTTTCGAATTATATATGCACGAGGATTGTACTGTTATTTTGAATTTGCAATTTATATTTTTTTATTTGGCTAAAACACTTGTTGTCGCGCGAATCGACGGGCGGCAAGTGTTTTGTAGAACTTTTTCACTGTTGCGCACTCGAGGCGAGGTATAATCGCCGTGAAACGTCTCTCTCTCTCTCTCTCTCTCCTTCTGTGTCTCTCACTCACTCTTTTGCTTGTGCTTTGAAGGCGAATAACAAGCCTGCACTTGTCGCTCGACCAAATTACCAAATTCTGCTTTGAGCGTACGTGTGTGTGTGCATGTGTGCGCGCCCGTTAGAATCAGAACTATGTTACGCGAGGCAACGGCGCTGACTGAGCGAACGCAACGATCGTCGCTGTTTGATATTAAAATTCTATAAGAATTGAGCAGCAGCCGCAGCAGGCAACTGAACTGAGCCGAGCTGAGCAGAGCAGCAGCGCAGTTGACGCAGCCAAAAGTTGACTGTTCTTAATCGTTGTGTGAGCGAGAGCGTGAGAGCGAGCGAACCAGTCGTGTGCTCGCATGTGTGTGTGTGTGGGGTGTGTGACGCTGCTTTAGCTTTGGCGACGATTTGCTGCTTGTTTCTAATTTTTTTTTTTAATTATTATTTTTTCATATAGATTTTTAAGTTTAATTTGCGTTCGTTGCTGTTGTTGTTGTTTCTGTTGCTGCGGCGAATTTCCGTATTAAAGGTTCACACATACAGATGCCCAACTGTCTGTGTGTGTTATTTATAATCTTTGCTGCTTTTGATTATTTGTATGTGTATTTGTAGCTGCGCAGCACTATGATTGCTGTTGTTGTTGTTGTTGTTGCTGTTACTGCTCTGCTATTAGCGTTTTGTTGTTGCGCACATTCACACGCCACTAAAAACAATATTGACCTAGGTTATATATACTATATATGCAGATACACACATACATATATACACACACACTTCAGTATATCTGATTCTTGTTTTTTACACTCCGTAATATATTTAATCGTTTTTTTTTTCTAGGTTATATTTTAAGTAATAATTTGATACACTTTTTCCATTGATTAATTTACATATGTTTAATATTTATAATATTTATATATATTTGTTATCAGCCTTTAGTTAAACAAACAATTTACCGTTCATAGTAAAAACACAAATTGATTTAAGAATTGCACTTTTTGTTGTTGTTAAAGAAAACACTTTAAGATTGGCTACGCTTTAGTTTTAATTATTAAAACTAAACAATAAGGCAAAGGAGATCAAATAACGTTGTTTATTATTTTATTCGTTTTCTTTTTCTTATTCGTTCTGTTGAACTATTTAAACAGCAGCTTTTTTGCTTAGTTAAAAGCTTTCTAATACTATTGAAAGTTCTTTAAAGAACAGAAAACGCTGCCGTTTGTCGTGTTGACGCGTCGCCAGCTCGCTGAGAAATACGAAATGGCGGCCAGCGTTCAAAATTTGCCGAGAACAACACGCTGGCAGCGCAGCGGCGTAGCGAGCAGTGCGCAGCAACGCAACTGTGACTGCGCAGTCGACGCTATTCTTGAATGGCAGCAGCGACTGCGACAGAGACTGCGGCAGCAGCAGCGTCAACTGAAGAATGAAAGCGCTGTGTATGCAAGTATGAGTGAATGTGTGTATATATGTGTGTGTATTTATCTGTGCATGCGTGTGAGTTGCTATATCTGTGTTTGGGTGCTTAAGCCGGCATTTGAGACAGCAGCTGCTGCGGCTGCTTCTAACGCATGTAGATATTGTAGATACAAAACCTGAAGCTGTTTTTTTTTTGTTTTTTTTTTGTTTAGAAGGCGCAGTGGCGTTCTGCTGCTACTGCTGTTATTTTCGGCAATTGTCTTTGTCGCGTTGGCGTTAGCGTCGACAGCGACGCGTTGCGAAGCGTCAGCGACAGACGCGCTCAACTTACTCAATAAAATTTTTATTATGATATCTACGCACACGAATATAATTCGTACGGCTGTTCAATTTGCATTGTTGTTGTTGTTGTGGCTGCTACCGTTGTTGTTGGCTTCGGTGGTGATTTGCTTTCGGTTCTTATCGCCGTTGCTTCTGCTGTTGCGACTGTTGTTGCTGTTGTTTGGTCAGTTGTTCTTTTTTGTTCGCCGTATTTTCGCAGCTTTTTTCTCTGCTGGTGACGTATGCGTCTGTATGTATCTATATATAAAATTCTATATATGTATGTATGTGTGTGAGTATGGAGGGTTCAATTTGTGATTTGTTAGCATGAATCGAAACATTTACGATGCTTTCGTCAACTTCGTAGATAACTAAAGATTAAAGATCACCTGATACAATGTGCACAGTCGCAATTAAATTGTCATAGGCCATATAAAAATATGAACTTTGTAGCGTTATTTACCTGCGTTAGGCATTAAAGCGAGCGATAAACAATTTAATTTATCATTTTAATACGAAAATCACCTACATACATTGTCGCATTCCCTTTGTCTATGGGTAACAACAATACAATATCTTAATCGAGTCAATGCCCTATCCAAAACTTTATAGCCAATGTCTGCTGTAGCATTTGCACTCTCCCTCTATCTTCCACCCACAGCTCTCATAGGTCTCTCATACTTCTGCATATCTTTCGCTCTGCCCATTCCGCATTTTTCCTTTTTATTCAAGCAGTGCATTGACCCAATATTTCTTTTTTCGGGCAACATTTATAGTACAACAGCAAAATACAAAATATAAAAAACAAAAATTAAAATTATTATGCATAAATAAGAAGTTGTTCGAAATTCGGCGAAAATGTTCAAGAAATTTCAATAAATGCAGCGGCCGTGCGCAGCCATCGACAGAGCGTTTCCGCTGCTCGCATTGCAGTCGACGCAGCTGCTACGGCTGTTACGGCTGCTGCTGCTGCTGCGGGGGGGCGTACGTTTTTTTGAACGTTGCAATAAATTCAAGCTTCATCCCTTTTTGGCAACGACCAACACCAACACAAACGGCAGCGAGCTAAAAAATATATGTATTTAAAAAAAAGAGAGAGAGAAGAAGAAGAAAAAATAAAATACAACCCAAACCCAAAATGTCTGCAACGTTGTCGGTTGCAAAGGGCAATGCCAGAACAAAAGCAACAACAGCAGCGCAGTTGTAGTCGCAGCAGCAGCAGCAGTAGCAGAGGCAGCAGCACTCGCAGCGGATTCGCGTGGCGGACGTGCAACGGTTTTCAACAGACTATGTGAGGCCGTGCCACAGTTTTCGACACGTGCTGCACATGCAGAGGACGCAAGCAGCGCGCCGCACACTCAAGAGTTTGTTGCATGGCTGCCTCTCTCTCTCTTCGTCTCTCACTCTGTCCCTCTCTCATTCGCTCGCTGTGCAAATGTGCAATTGTGTAGGTTGTGGCCGTGCTGCATGGGACAGTTAATGCGAGTCTGCGTCTGGTCGCTTGCCAGCTGCTTGAATCATTAGACACATACATAGTTTAAATGGGCAGAGAAAGTGCCACGAATTGAGCTGCCTTAGAAGGTGCAGCTTTCATTGCAATGGAAATAGAACTCTCTAAACTGATAAATAAATACAGAATACTATACAGAGAGAGAAGGAGGATGGGGGTTTCCAATGTTATCATTATCATTGCCATTGTCATTGTCATTTTCTATGACCCACCTTTGCATGTTTAATGTCTCCTTCAATTAGAAAAAATATTATTATATACTATAGTACAAACTTGTTAAAAAAAAAAATCTATTCAATAGTCTGCAATCTATATCAATCAGTATATGTATCGTCTAGTTACACAATTTTCTACCAAAAACAATTAGAGGTGAATTTCTTGTATGGCTTTTGCCATATTTCCGGGCGGCATTCCAAGACCTTGAAAGGGACATCACATTAAAGCCAGATAGCAGCTGATATCGTGAGGTTTCCCAGAACTCGGGGAAGGCAAATTAGAAAACAGTTGCCAACAAATTGCACCATTATGAGAGCGTGAATCATAATGCATTGCCTTCATTTGGTCCCTCACGGGGCTGTTTTGACTTTTGCATTGACTGTCTTAGATAATCAATGCAATAACAATCGACAAAATATTTCTTAGTTCTTAATTGGTTTTTCATATTCTAGATCCATGATTGTGTGGGATTTCATGGCGCTCTGATTTACTTTCAAAGGGGCCAAAACTTTTCAGCTAATAGCAACGCGAATCTAATCTAATCTAATCTTATCAGGGCAAACAGCGTACATTATGTTATTGCATATAATGCGCCAATGACCACGTGCGAAATATCTCTTTAGAGTCTGAAAAAAAAAATAAACGGAAACAAAGCTCGTGGAATTGCACAATATTTATTAAGTTCTCCAAGAGCAGCTAATGGAGCAGGGACCTTAACAGACCATGTTAAAAATTTAACAGAGAAATCAATGTAAGTATATATGTACATATGTATATATATTAATGAAATATATAAACAAAAATTACGATTGAAATAATAATAAATATATAATATGAGCTTGTTGAAATAAAATTTAAAATAACAATGTTTAAAAAAATTAAAAATAAATAATATTACGTTAGATAAATATATATATAAAAAAAAAATAATATAAAATATGTATATATCTATTACAAAAATACATTTAAATAAAATGTAAAAAAAAAATTATATATATAATTATTTATAAATAATTTTTTTGTAAATTAAATAAATAAATATTTTTGATAATAATAAAAAAAATAATGGCATTGAGTATTATACAGTATATATATTATATCAGAGTATTTGATTATTAATGACTTAACAAAAACGAAATCTCTCTACTTATTTACCTTAGATAAAATATGTATATATGTATACATATGTATATACTGTGTATATTTATATGCCATAAAACTGCGTCGCATAATTTTAGACCAGATAACAAATTGTTTAAGTTCTTGAAATAGATTTGCTCCATTACGTATACGTAATGTGCAACTTTGTGGCTTAGCCTTGCATAACAATAAAACAAATTAAAAAAAAAAAATATATATAATAATAATAAATATATCAAATAAATATAAAAGCGGCCTTTATTAAAAAATATGTATTTAATAAATCATAAAAATATTCTCGTAAAATAGTCAATTTTTACCTTGTCTAAAGTGATGTAATTCCTGTTTACTGATATTGTTATTGTTATTTTTATAATAATTTATTTGTTTACCGAAACGTGTGGCGCGAAAAAGAAAGAGCGAAACAGAGAGAGATAGGGAGAGTGTGAGAGAGAGGTGAGAAAGTAAAGGGGTTGTATGAGATGTGCAAATACATGAGCAAGTGACATTTGCTAAGAGCGCACACATACATACAGATAGAAATGCATTTGTATGGGTGTGTAAATATTATTTCTATAGTGCCACAGTCGCTTTCGTCGTACTCAATGTCAGTGTCATATTCATATGAGGACTTTTATTATTCTCATTGTTATTGTGGCAATTCGTGTACACAGTTAGCTATGTAAGTATGCACTCATACATACATACATATGTACATATATCTGTAGCCATATCTAATTACAAACATGTTGTTTAGGTTTACCGAATCAAAACAATTCTAATGCGGAATTGTGTAATAATTAAATTTAGCATTACACATGATAAGGAAATTAAATGGGTAAAAAAAAGATAATTAAAAAAATATAAAAGAAATAAAATTGTATTTATTAATAAACATTTCTATATGAAATAGCAAAGGGAAGTTGCAATAAATGAATGCGGAGCATTGACTATAAGATTTGTTAGATATTATTATCAACATTACAATTTTTTAATGTTTTAATATTTTAGGAACAAAGCACGAAGCATGCAAAATCTTGTAGGCTAAATTAAAAAATAATAAATAAATTCGTTTCGTTCACCATTTTTAAGACCGCAGCTATATATACACACATGAATATCTATATAAGTATATATATATCTCTATATATACATTGTTTAGAAATAACACATCATATATGTTGCCTGATTTTTATATTAAATAATTTCAAGGAAATTTTATATATATTATATTATTTATTATAAACTAAACAATTTATCCATTATTTCTTGTACATTTTATTATTTACTTTTTTAATGACTATTAGTTTTGTATCATATCAATAAATAAGTTAGAAAAATCTGTAATTTATTACATGTGCATAAATATGTAAATCCATGTTTGTCTAACTGCACAAGTACACATATACATACATATGAATATATATTGATGCACACATGCATTTAGTTAATTATCATTCGAATATTACTTGATTATAAAACACCTTTAGCATTTTAGTTTTATGACTATTGCCGTCTCAGCAGCTGTTTTGTTGCGGTTGTTGCTGTCGCCCGCGTTGTTTTTGTCTCAGTTCTATTTGCTGCTTCCTCTTCTAACGTTCAGCTAGCGCATGACATTTATTGTTGTACAATAGAAGTTGAAATTGAAAAATTGTTGAGCTAATGTCGCCAGCTGTTAAATAAATTTGCATACGTTAGCAATAGCAAATGTTAAAAAAAAACGAGTCACATTTGTTACATTGTAAATAGGCACTTTTACGCTCTGTCTCTCTCATTCTCCGTCTTCGCTTTATTGAGCAGCGCTGTAAATAAAGGTATGTGTCAATTAAGCAGCAGCGACAGCCAGCGCAACAACAACACCAACAAGGAAAAGAAGAACAGCAGAAAGAGTGATCACATTGGAAGCAGAGGGAGTGTCGACGTCCAGACTGCGTCAATAATAACTGCATTACACGCGGCAACGACCAAAAATGAACAACAACAAAAATATAATAATGAAAACTCTCTCGCACATACACACACCATTACACTGTTCGACTAAGAGAGAGTGCAGACGTAGCACTCCATCAGTCTTGCACGCGTTTGCCACTGCATTTGCTATGTGTTGCCCTCCCTCATCGATTCATTCCATCTGCTATGTTCGTTCTGCTCTCTTCTTGTTTCTTGCGCGGTTCATTGACCGAGGCGTCGGCACGTGCGTTGAAAACACTGCACATCCTCTTGCATTCGCTCGGACCAGAGTGTCGAAAACACTGGCACTGCCTCTAAGGCGTATATGCTCGTTGCATTTTATCGCATGCACATGTCGCTAGTTTGCTCGATCCCTCTCTCTATCTTTATCTCTGTCTCTCTGCCTAGCACGCTCTAGTACTATGGCAACTACACAACCGTTGGTGTATGTATGTGTGTGTGTCGATTTTTATAGCCTGTCTGAATGCTTGGGTTGCTGTAGTTTCAATTTTTTGTTGTTTGCTTTACAGTTGCGCGTGGACTGCACTGGTGTGAGTGAGTATATATGTGTACACACAAGTGTGTGTGCTATGTTCTCAAGTAACTCGAATTAATTCCCAGCTCTATTTTTGGCTACTTTCGATGTTTACAGCTATTTTTAATTGTACAGACGCGCCCACATTGCAAATCTCTTAAGTCATCGATTCAATTGCAATTCACAACTAATAGAAGAAGGAATATGTTAATATGTATGTAATTGTACTTGTATGTACACATGTCTTAAAGACTTTTAATATTAGGTACGCATGTACTTTACTTGATAATAATATTGATAAGCAGTCTCCAAACAATAAATATTGATCATAAAATTGGTGTTTCCGCTGCGGCGTCTCAAAAACAAATACTCTGTAAGCTTTTAGGTGCTAACATATCAAGCACACTTTAAGTGCCCGGAGATACAGAGTCAAGCGCGCACACATACATACATATCTACATATTTGTATGTTTATAGATGTATTGGTGTAGGTGCTTCAAGCATTGATACTCGTGGTATTTAATCTAAGTTACGGTCGCATCGCTTGAATATTTTATGCATGCACACTCCGAAACATTAAAATATGTTCATTTATTTATTTTAATTAGTTACTTCCAGCTCTTTTTTGTAGTTATTAAATATTTACAAGGCGCCATTGCAATGTAATTTGTTTGCTTTTTTTTAAAGCAGATTAAGCACCTGCTAATTAAGAGTTATGAACATATGCACTTAACTAGTCTAATGTAGCTCAATTTGAGGGCGTTGCTAAGCTGTTAGTTAAGTGCAGTACAATTTGGAAGCCAATTTGATAAATAATTATAAAAAAAAAAACTTACAAAAATAAGTAAAGTTACAATTTTTACATTAGGGAATATACAATCTATACAATACAATATACAATCTGGGGGATGAACACATTATTAATTCATTTTTACGGGTTTTAATTAAGTTTGTTTTCGATTTTTTGATATGTTAAGTCAAAGTGCCTTTGATTGACATTCGCGCTTATTTTTTGAAAATTTTCGTTTTTCTTAGATTATAAATTTCTTGTTTACAAAATATATGAAAAAAATTGTTGTGTATAACATATAACAAATAGAAATATGCGATTTAAAAAAAAAATATACCACCATGAATAATACTCAAAAAAATCCAGAAAAACATGGTGCCTTTAATAGAATTTCGGGGAGTGCATATCAAAACAAACCTAAGCTAACAAAAACTTTAACAAGAAGATCATTGTATATATATATATGTACATACATACAAAGTTTATATTTAATATATTAAAACCGAAATATCATTATGTATATATGTGTATACATACATATATATATTTACCCTATTTAAGTAGCCCTCATTGTACTTGTATTATTTGTAAAATTTATTGCCATATCATTAACACTGAAGTACGCATTTCCTTTAGTGTTAAACACAAAAATAAAAATCATTTATTGACCAACCCTAAGTAATTTAGATAGGAACAAATACTATTAGAAATTAGCTGATTGAGCATAGCAAATTCCAAATTGTGAATGAAAATGAAAATGTGAAAATTATTAAACGAAGTATCTAGAAAAAAAAAAAAACTTTAATGAATTGAAGTTTAATGAAATTACAAACACATATGCTTTATATAAGGAAATATTCAACTATCATTATTTGGATAGAATAATGATGATTCTGTGTTCAATGCAGAACACTAAAAGTCTTCATAGAAGATACAAGTTGGATGAATAATACTGTTTTAAAATATACTTAGGATGAGAGTAAACATCACTTGTAAATTATATAATAATATTTCTACAATAAATTCAAGCATTTACTATTATACTGTATACTCTGGCAAGCTATAAAAATATCTAGTATTTAGTTATAAAACCCGAAACAACAGCTCGTTTATAGCCAAATTCCATATGAATGCTAATTAAATTTCTAGACAAACCAAAATAAAACAAATTAAAAACACGTTTTTTTTCTTCTCCTTTTAGTTACTTGAATTTTGGTTAGGTATTACGCAATCGTTGGACTCGCCAATAATTGTGCAATAGATAAACTATGTAAACGGAACACTTGATTGATATAAGCTAGAGTAAGCCCTACGGGACTTACGTAAAACACGGGTTGTCGTCTGGCCATTAGTTACCCAATTCAATTGAACCTCACACAACAATATGGACAAAATGTAAAAAATAACTAGGCGCAACTTAAATCTGATACGAGCATAGATTATATGCTATATAATAGAATATATATAGTATCTATAGTACTTTGATTTGATGCAACCTTGAGAAATGGCAACGCTAATTGTCCGTACATTGACTCGAGCAAAGTGTCTAAGCAATAGCTCACTCGCCCACTCTCTCCTTCACTCACTCACTCTATCTCTCTCTCTCTTCTACTTGCATTTCTTACATTCTCTTCTCTCTTGCTCTACAGCTCCCTCTTCTATTCTGTTACTCGCCTCTACACGCGCGATCGTTAAAATGTAACAAATATAAACATGTAACTGCCTTTTAGTCGACTAGTAGATACCCAGTAGAACTGCATTTTTTTAAACTATGTATACTTATTCTACACATACATACATTATGACACACGTACATCCATACATATACATTTCGGAAAACATATAATCACATATAATACGAAAGATAATTGGATTGGCTAGGATATGTTAGGATACAAGATATCCTATCGAATATCAAAAATCAATCATCAAAGGTATAATGGTTATTTTTCAATTAGGATGGGGTAGGATGTTTATATTCAATCTGAAGATACAGTAACACCATTACAGGGTATTTTCTAATGCAATTTCTTATATCATTATCGACACGCTCTATTATATGAGTGCACTATATATATACACACTTGGGCAACCATAAATTATAAATGTTATTTGTATAGACATATATATCTATCATATTTTGTTCAATTTCATTTGCTTACGGAGTGGTTCCGGTGGCGTTGCACGGTTTACATTAATTGCCGGAACGTGTCGGCGTTTTCAAAATGCAAAAAAATACATTTTCTTTTAACTATTTTAACAAATTTTCTTTTTCTAGCTATTCTGTATTTGATTTATGCCCCGGTTGGGCAATTTAGAAAAGTTCCCCAGCTATAAAATGGAAAATAAAGTCAAGATAAACGGCAGTTTATCGAAATTGAGAAACTAATGTCGTAAGCCTACAAAGACACGTAAAGTTGAGTAAGTTTTTGCTCATTATTCTATATATGGTGTGGCTAGGTTTGTAAAGGCTCTGGTAGTAAATTAAAAACTTTGCGTACCTATAATGTATAAAGAGCTGCATGGAGATAGGTCTGTATGTATATACTGTGCTCAGCTTGAATATTATTCAGTTACAAAACTGATTCCTCATTATAAAAGATTCCTTATTATAAAAGATCAAGATATATAATTAGATTTATGTTTTAGTTATCCAACTCTGACACTGTTTCTAAAAATCATTCAAACATCAATATAAGAAATTAATCTACAAAATTTATTAGCTTATTCAAATTTTAAGCTCGTAAGCCTGAAATGACGCTGTCATCTTCTTGCATTTCTATTCTAATCGCCGGTCAATTATCATCTTTGATCAGCCATTGTACCTGCCAGTCGAGTACTTAAGTGCGATCCAGTTAATAAGTCAGACAGCAGATCGATGCACTACTCGACATAGAGCTCAATGAGTGTGCAAAACAAACGACCTATAGACCATAGATAAAAGCTGTTTGCACACAGACCTGAGGGTAAATAGATCGATAGAAAGTTAGAGTCATAAATATGCACATAACTAGCCAAGTGTTGAGGCATGCGCGACTGATAAGAGTAAAACTGAAGGTCGACTATTGCATAAGCATTATTTCAATTTTCATATCAATCATACATTTTTGTAATGACTACAGAATTTTAAAATTTTTGTTCTTTTATATTAGTTGATCGAAATTTGGCCCATAATTAAAATGAAATTCAAAAAGGCTTTTTTTTCAGATACAAACAAATGGATTTCATATAATTAGTTTTTAATATTTTTAAAATTAAAATTTAATTTTAATTTATAATAAACAAGTAAGAAGGCTCCAGTCGAGACTGCTCGACTAGGAGATACCCTGAACCCTCCAAGCTGATATTCTAATCATTCTGGACTTCTTTTATTCATACATACATACACTTGCACTTATAAGCACGCGCTCTGCTAACTGCAATGTGGGCAATATTATGAGAATTTATTTGTTGAATAATTTCTTTTGTAGACGTATGATCTTAATGAAACTTTTAAAGCGTAATCATATGGCTAAAATGTGTGTACATTCCAAAGCACAAGTCTCTAGTACTTGAAATGCGTTTTTTACAAATTGGGGGCGAATGGGGCGTGGTATCCAAAATCTGTAAATTACAAAATCTTTGTATCCATTAACTTTATATACAACGCAAATTTGAAGTCTCTAGGTCTAAAAGTGTTCAAATTAGGCTGAAAAAACAAAGTCGATTTTTCGATTATTCTCGATAAAAAAGTTATCGGATGAGTTATCGAAAAAATAAAGCAAACTTGTACTGCCTATGGTATACACGAGTATGCATGCCAAATTTCAGTTCTCTAGCTCTTATATCTTCTGAGATCCTTTTGCTCATACGGACGGACAGGGCTATATCGACTCAGCTCGTCGTCCTGATCAAGAATATATATACTTTATGGGGTCTGCGATGATTCCTTCTGCCTGTTACATACTTTTCACAAAACCATTATACCCTGATTTCCCATTTTCAATGGGTTCAGGGTATAAAAATAATTAACCTTTTAAGAGAAAGTAAGAATGAAAGAAACAGTAAATAAGTAACTACGTATAATTATTTACTGTTTCTTTCATTCTTACTAAGAATTTCTTAGTCTTTGACATTAAAAACTCAGTAAGGCTTTTGCAATTGAAAGGTATATGCCTGATGCACATGGGAACAAAGACAAATGTGCACACATTACTGTATATGTATATATATAGTACATATATACTAATATGTGTGTCTATATATGCAGTTAGTATATACATTTAAATTACGTTGCCAATAAATACGTCCCCAGAGGCAATTCCATGGCATACTTTACTACTTTATGGCTGCTGACTCTTGGGTACCAAAGGCCTGGCCCCATTTTTATTTTTTTTCTCCCTTATTTTCCTTGTGCAATGAGGAAAATCGGAAAATGAAGACAAAGCCGTGAGCAAATAGGCATTACATGTATGGAATTTAATCGATTTTCATCTAAAAATGAAAAGCGTAATCGCTCAATCTATATAAATCTGAAGTTCATATGGCGCTATATTTATAACAAATATTTAGTATAGTTAATGCTCTATGTAATACCCCTTATCAGTCCAGTATTTGCCTAGAGTGCTTAATACTTTTATTATTGTACGTAATTCTCACTTTACTATATAGAAATAGCATATAGATGAGATGTATATGAGATGTACGACTCGTAAAATTGAAGGGTATTTATAGACTCTGGGAGAAAAGTTTGTTTTTAGATCAACTATAAAGTAAGAGTCTATGATGCTGCTGTATAACATATATAAACAGATATATCATATAAATATTTCAACATTCTGCTGCTTTAAGTATACCAAAAGCTTTCAAAAGTTTGCTGACTTTTATAGGGTATCAGATGGATTTACTATATGATGATAGATTATTAAAATCTAACAACTTTAATATTAGTTCACGCTGCTTAACTTTTTGAGAAATGTTTCTTTGCACTTCTATTGGCTTTGTCCTAAACCCTTAGCTTTAATTTGAATACCTCGTAATTAAGGTCACATTAAGTTGATTACAAATGGCCAACAGTTAGCGGCATAAATTACAAAGGTTACGATTTAGATAGAGTCGGATTGTTACGATA